ACACACAAGTGCCTTTCATTACGTATTCTAGAGGCTACAAATCTTGGACGCGCAACCAGCTTTAATAAATTTATGTTTTCAATTTTTTTGACAACCTGCGTAATTTACTTGGTCGTTTTGAATTTGGCCCTGAACAAATCTGAAACGTCGATGAAACAGGAATTACGACTGTTCACAAACCTAAACAAGTTATTGCTTGCCGAGGTGAAAAACAAGTTTCAAAAGTAACTTCTGGAGAGCGTGGAAAGTTGATTACAGTTTGTACTGGGATAAATGCAATTGGAAATCACATCACTTCGTATATGATATTCCCTCGAAAAAATTGGCAGCCAAGAATGATTGACAATGCTCCACCAGAGACATGCGGAGTTACAAAGCCTAGTGGATGGATGATTGCTTAATGATATTTGACAACCATGACAGTCATATATAGAATCACTGAACCATGCAAAAGATAACATCATTCATTTGCTAACTATTCCTTTACACTTCGCATAAAATACAACCACCTGACAGGACATTATTTGGCCCTTTAAAAGCATAATATTACAATGCTGAATGTGATGACTGGAAGACCTCACATCTTGGACGACCATTAATCATATATGACCTGGCGGGCTGCTTAGGAAAAGCTTCTCCTAAAGGAATCACACCACAGAATATTCAAAATGGTTTTCGTGTTACTGGGATTTCACCATTCACTTCGGACATTGTTACTGAGGATGAATTTTTATCATCATATGTTACAGACCGGAATAATCCTTCTGTCCATGTAAACGCTAATACGAATAAAGATGATTTAATTTTACCTGCAACGGCCCCTACTGAAACTGGCGTAGTTTCTGTTTTTCAAGGCACACAAAACTCAAAACATTTAGAAAATGTAACTAACTGCTCTCCAATAACCACCTGCAAAACTACTACATTTACTGTGCAGAAACGCAGAAACTGGTATAGGTTGCCACAGGCTTCAAAAGCAATGCATGGCCTTTCTTCCTTTGATATTGGATTTTGATGATAAGCACTGGTTAAGTCTATTGCGCTAAAATACTCGTGCTTTGAAACTTTATAAATAATTTCTTCAATATTCAGGATTGGATATGCATCAAGTTGAGTGAATCTGTTGTTATTTACCATTCTTTTTTTATGATCCTTATTGGATGTTAATAAAACTTGTGCACGCCAAGAAGATCTATTGGTGTCAATAATACCCTCTGAGAGAAGTTTGGCAACGTCTGATTGAATGGCGCCTAGAAAGTTCAAATTATCTACATTATGCAACATTTAGTCAAAAAACGCTGGAACACATCACATTTTAAATTTACTTTTGCTTTTATTTTAGACAAACATCGCTATGACGATTTCATGATGACGTCATTAACTTTTTTAAGGATAAACCTATAAACGTAGATAGTTTGAGGTTTCGAACCCAAATACTCACACTGTATAGATTATTATGTTTCAGTTTGCGTTTATAAAATTTGAATAAAAAAAGCTTTGAATCTCATTAAAATAAAAGAAAATCACGAGGCTCTTATTTTGTTAGATAATGGTTTGAAATTAAGTTCGGATGAATTAAAAGCTGGAAAAGAAATTACCCTAATTTATTAGACAGAAGAAGATGTAAATGAAGCGAGAAAAAATTTATGTTCGCGATCATTTGACACAAATATTATTTTGGCAAAACTTCCTTGTAAATCGAATGCTTTGTATTTCTATGCTCTAAGAGCCTCTACACAGACGTACGTGTGTATATTCTCTATAGAATGAACTTTTTATAAAGTTTGGATACAAATTAGGAAACCAAATTTTTTTACCGGTATTTTTTAACCGAGACCCACTGCCAAAATATCTAAAAAAAAGTGTAAATTCAATGCATTATTATGTTAGCTGTTGTTATTTTGTTGTTGTCGATATTTTAAAGACCGTTTAAATATAAATTATGAAAATGTTATTAATTAAAATATATCCTCTTCTGTTTTTTCTTATTTTACTTTTATATCCATTAAACATCCTACATTATGAATTCAATTGATACTTGTGGAAGATCTTATTAAAAAAATTACCTATAAATAATAAATTAATAATATTAATATTTAAACTTATTGATGCTTGAAGTTTATTATTATAGCTTAGCAGAAAAATGATAAATAATAATTTAAAATGTTCGTATTTACCACTACAGGGCTTGTGAACCTTATTTTAACGAAGATATGAAACAAATATTAGCATATTCGTTATTTTTATAGATTTATATGCCGTCAAAATCGTGGTACTTAGAAAAAGGCTTATGAAAGCGAGTACTCTTCTGAAAAAGAAGACCAGTTGGTTATTCCAAAGACTAGAGTAGCCAACAGGGCCGAGGGAGAGGGGTCCCGGGACAACCTCCCGGGGCCCGGGCACAAGTGCGGACCCGGCAGCTTTAGATAAGGGTGTTTTATTTTTTTAGAAGGGAGGACCGCTGGTTTATGTAAAATAGAAGATAAGGACTTTGTTGAGATTTTACTAAAAAAATTTTACTTGAGAACTTTTTTTTTTAAAATTTAATACTTTTTTATAAAATTGTCGCGGGGCCCCACCTGGAAAAGTGTCCCAGGGGCCCACCTGGCTCTTGCCTACCCTGGTTGCCGAAATACGTTGTTAGTTATATGACAGTCCATCAGGAAGATATCTCGGTGTTAAAAAACACTTTGAAGATAAAGAGTGTGTGGAAGGTTTTATTGGAAGAACAGTTCCGATGCTGTAAAGGAGGTGCAAAACGGACTATCGATAGTTCATCAAAACCGGCTGGCGTCACTTAAGGGCGACCATAACCAAGAAGTAAAAAATAAGCCTATAAAGAATATATAGGTACTAGCAAAGCAAGATATGGTGTTACAACCGAGCGACAACAAGATCTGCTTACTCTTCCAAAAGATTACTCCTTTTCCGGAAGAAATTTGGTCGAGTACCAGAAGTTTATGGTCAGTTACCGGCCCCTGGAATAGCCTTGAAACTTCCAGATGAATCACGTTACCTTTTCTAGTTAGTAACAAAGAACACTTTCCAAGATCGATCCATTTATCATGTTGTATGGCCAAGCATTACTTAGTTTAAGGGAGCACGTATTGAGTCAAATGTACAGAAACTAGCCTTGCTTAAGTTAGAGTACAACCAGGTGGATTGGAGGATCATTCGATTAATGGAGGAAGTTATTTTCCAAGATACTAAGGTCCAAATAATGGTCTGGATAAATTCGCCAAGTGTCCAGAATTCAGCAAATATCCGTCCCTTGTTACTTCTACACAAATGAAAATTGTAAAAGAGGGTCCAGTGGCGGATACCACCATTCAGTTTAAGTTTCCTAAAGGTTCCAGGAAAAACTATCTCTTAAGAAGGAGGCAATTTTCGACCAGTTCGGTCATATTCTAATCCAGTTTTATCTAAGTCCCTCTCTGTCTTGTTTAGGCCTTTATGACACCACTTGCTCGATCACCAAAAATATTTTCAGAAATAGGTCTACCTCCAAAATCCAACTTAATGTTATGACCTTAGTAAATGGCACGCCTATGGCGAACGCTGACCAACAGTCTAGAAAACAAAAGGGTAGGTCACAAATGGCACCACATATTCAAGGCTTAAAGATAACTCGATTAAAAATACGTTATCTCAATGCAAATATGCGCACAAACAGTTAGAGCCCTTGGAAAGTACAAAATTAAAATCGATTTTTTCCAGTATTTCATGAACTGTTAAACATTTTGTAATGAAAATGGATACATAGCTTTATTATCATAATAGCATCTTCTTCATATAAAACCACGAAATCTGTATAGACCATAAAAAAATTTAAGGGGTTTTTGAACCCCTAAAACCTTCCAAACTTTTCTGTGCGTTACAAATAAATTTGTATTGTGGCACCATTGGTTTAATACATCGTTTTGTAAATTTTTTTGTTTCTTAGCACTTTTTCGAAAAGCCAGTTTTTATCAAGATGCGGCCTCTTTTTCATTATTCTTTAAAAATTTTGAGTATTCATGTTATTCACAGGTACAAAAAATATGTACAAATGTGTAGTTTTTACTACAATAAATGTTCAAAATGGCCTTCATATTCCTGAATACACAATCGGCATCGTTTTAAAAAGGAAAACAGAATTTTTTGAAGGATAATTAGCTTCTGACGAAACTGATTTACACTTTCAATGATGCGATGCCTCGATTATTTCTAAGAAATACACGTCCGTTTTCATAAAACCCCGGAAGCAAAAGACAATAGGGTTAAGATCTGAACTTCTGGCTGGCCAAAAAAAAGGCCAGAGTACAGACCGAAAAGATATTTCCTAACTTCGTTATCGAAATGCGCTGAAGATCCATCTTCTATTACTAAATATACCTCTTTCAAGTACTCTTTTTTGTAAGAACTTCAAGTAATTTGCACCATTTAAATTATTTGGTAGAAATATTGGTCCTATTAAATTATTATTTACAATGCCTGCCCAAACATAGACTTTAAAAGTCCTTTGGTGATGAGTCACTTTTTTGTGTGTGTAAAGTAAAGTAAAGTAAATGTCTATATACATTAGTGTTAGGTATAAATAAATTAGCGTAAAAATGTATACATAAATTAAAACAAGTAACTGTTGTAAAAAAATAAACGTTACAAGATTTTAATGTTTGAATAAAAAATCATCTGTTTTCAAAGTGGCAAGTTCTATTTATCCTATGTATCGTATTTAGACATTAGAACGCTAGATTTAAAGTACACTCGTGGTTTTATGAGTTAATTTGTTGTAATTATAATTTTGTAACCCAAACCGGTTTAATATTTATTTTTTTTTAATTAAAAGACTCTGTCGTGGCAAACAAAAATGTAAAATTTTCGCGATTCCTTGAGACCGAAATTTGTTCTTTTTTGAAATCAGTGTTTCTCTCGTTAGGTAAAGTTTCTCAGGAAATGTTTTAAAGAAAACATTTTGTTTTCGTAAACTTTTAAAAGCCAAATTTATAAACATCGTTGCATGTAATAACAGGCTTTTAATACAAGCCAACAACATCTTAAGAGAGTATCAACTGCGTTGGCTCACGGAGTACAAGAGGGTATACCTAATTTAAAAATTTCAGCTATCTAAAGTCATTAAAACGTTTGCGAATAAAGCTAAAAGAATGCTCAAGACGAGTGCTGTTGAGACATCACTGCTGTTGGCGTGTAACATGGCAGCCGGGTTTTCCTCTGAAAAATAAAAATTCAAAATTAGCATAAGTGTGCATAAAAATTTTAATAATTTCTGTTGAAAATTATAAAGTTTAATTTAGATGAACGCTTAGTTTTCCTTCATTTATGTATATTACACACATGTGGTACAATGTGAGACGTTTATTTTGAATTAGAATATTATTTATTAGTTTTGTAGCTTCTGGCATTTTTTTTTTATAAAAAAGGTGAATCGTTTGAAAGTAATTAAAGCTACCACTTAACATAGTTACTAAACTCTCTAAACTTTAAGGTCACAAAATAAAATAAACAAAACAAAGCCATAGGTATATTATTCAAAATACGAGCGTTCGTTTTTCTTCAAAAAACAACTACTCTTTTGGCTAATACTGCAACAGGTATTGAATTATGTCCATAGGAAAGACAACAGAGATATAAATGTAATTTAAAAAATCAACTGTTGATTTTGCTTACTAATCAGAACGTCATTATTGGAGCAGTTCCATCCTTAATAAGACTCATCAGCAAGAAATATATAGGTTAATGTATACTAGTGAATTTTGTGCCTTTGTTAATAAAACTACACCCCATATTTCTTAGAGAAATTAACTCTGTATTTAGCAAAATTAATCGATTTCGAGCAACTTTTGTGATTGATTATGAATACTTTTTTTTTATAATCTTCTTATTTGCTAGAATTTAACGTAAGCCACAATATAATTAATAAATGAAATGTTATCCAATAGCATTTAACATATTATTTTAATTTTAATAAACGAAACTTAATGAAATGTTCAAGTGTAACATTTCGATATATGGAGTTATACAGGGTGTTTCAAAAAGGTATGTCATAAATTCATCCTCAGATATTAGCAAAAAATAAGTGGATTTGGCTATATTTAGCTATATCAAAAACTGGCTCCCAACAAAGTTATAGGGTGTTAAACTAACATTCAGAAAATCGTTTTTTTTTTTTTTGTAAAAAGTTTTCGAAAGTTTTGCCAGTGCTGTAGATTTGAAGACTCAATATTCTAATAAAAAAAAAAAAATTAAAGCGACCCCTTTAAAAAAAGTTGGGGGTTGGGTACCTTTTAACCCCCAGTATTTTTTTTGACATCAAGAAACTTGCTTTATTGATCTTAAGATCAAAAAGAACTATGAATTGTAAGGGGTTTTCTCGCCACAGAGAAAACGGTTCCTTACGAATGACGCTGGTTACGGGCAGTTCTAGAGCTCCAGATTTTTGATGATGGTTTACTCCACAAACTTTCGAAACGGCGTCGAAAGTACTCGGGTAGCTACAGATGGAGATGAAAAATTCCAGGGGTCAAAGGTCACTTAGACACAGGTAATAGTTAGCCACAAGTAACGGACTTTAATCGTTGCTTCGGCTGGTACAGAATTTATCACTAGCTGAAATACAAGGGGGAAATAAAGTATGGAATTAGTAACCAGTAATACGGCAAGTTACCATTGACACATATATTGTGAATAATATTTACAACAAAAAAAATATCTATTTCAAACGCCCACTCCAGTTGTGGTGATAGTCAATATAACCCTGAATAAAAAAAAAAAGAAACAAAACGGACGGTATTGAATCGCGACTAGTCTCAATCAGACGTCAAAATTGAATTAAAATAAAATGTACATTTCGGTCGCAGAGAAAAAAAATATTGACTTGGCTATTTACTCGGTAATTAACTGTTTAACTGTGATATCGGGAATTAAACTGAAATGTAGGTATTTCATTATTTAGGTAAGGAAAAATTAGCTAAACGGTCATAGAGAGTGCGAGGAGACAGGGACGCGAAATAATTACTTATAGTAAATATACGGAAAGAAAATAAAAATAAATTTATACCCGGGGTAGCCTATTATCCCAGAATGAGCTGATCGTCATCACGAGCCCACTCAGACAGGGTAATGAAGCTATTTTTAATTTCTGCAAGTTGCATATTGCACGAAAAAATAAAGAATATAAAGGGAAAACAATTAACGTGGATAGCACCTAATCCAAGAATGAACTGATCGTCATCACGAGCTCGTTTAGTCAGGGATAGGATACTATTTAAAGTTATTTAAATGGACGGTGAAAGATAAAAACAAACTATTATTGGAGGGAAGAAAATTACTAATGCGGATAGTACCTACTCCAAGAGTAAACTGATCGTCATCATGAGCCCGTTCAGACAGGACAGGATACTATTTAAGATTACTGAAATTTGCGGTTTTACAGATTAACTAAATAAAAAAATAACGCAGACAGCACCTACTCCAAGAGTGAACTGATCGTCATCACGAGCCCGTTCAGACAAGGACAGGATGCTGTTTAAGATTATTCAAATAAAAATCAAATTTAATTCTCGATTTAACCTACCAAAAAGACAAAAATTCCTAATACAGACTAACGATCAAAAGTCTAAATCCCGCTATTACAATATTACAGAATCAAATCCTATCATTTATTATTTAAATCAAATTCTATTCCTTTTAAAGAAAGAGTATTATATTTGCCAAGAAATAAATTCAAATATTTATTATTGAAATCAAATTAATGTCTTTTAACTCAACACTATCTATAAAAAAAAGAAACGGTAATATTTGCCAAAAAATAAATTCTATTATTTACTAATGGAATCAAATTTAAAATCTTTTAAGTCAACACCGTATTATTTGCCAAGAAACAAATTCTAAACACTGAATGAAAATATTCCTATTCCTAGAAGCTAATTCGGTTTTTAAAATGAAATACGGTCTCAATATAAAACGTAAAAAGCGGAACGAGATTTTTTTTACCTAACGGATTTGTAAATACGAGAAAAAAATTATCGGCGGTGATTTGATTTGTGCTGCGGCTTATTAGTCTCGACTGGTGCCAATCAAAAATTTTATCGAACTGATAATTTTAATAGCATCTCGGGTCTCGTTCAACTACTGAATCCTTTTCCCCATCAGAAACCCCACCTACGCTCAGACCCACCGCGCACGATACTCGATCGGCGTTCGCGCATGTAAATCAACTTAGAACCAACAGTTCAATCGTGTTTGATATTTATTAAAAATGAAAATAAACTGATTGAGGAAAAATTGACTTCATTACAGAATTTGAAAATTTTTTTATAACGAAATAATCTTTGTATCTTTACCGAACTATTTACAATTTTTTAACTGAATTTATAGAGCAATTCGTCCGTCCTGGACTTAACATATCAACAAAACTAAGAGTAGATCAGGAGTTATTGTACAGAACGCGCATATAAAAATCAGTGGTGTGTCTAGGGCTTTGCTTGAACCGCCCCTGCAAAAATTACCTCTTTTATTTATATTTTTGTATTCAAGAAGGAGGAGGAGGACATGTTGAATATTTACTAAATTAAATATTTTATAAAATATGTATAATAATTATGACCAAATGTTTATTTTTAATTGTTAAATTTTTGTTAATTCTTTAACTAAAAAATATTTTTTTTATTTACTATTAAATTTCCCACCTAACGTGTATTTTTATCAGTGGCATGGCGAACCCATGAGGACGGGTGGCACACCATTTTTATGGCGCCAATCCAATATTATAAATACCTTTTTCACAAAAATATAAATAAAAGAAGTAGTTTTTGCAGGGGCGGCTCAAGCACAGCCCTAGGCTCACCACTGATTTAAATATGCGTTTTTTGTAGAATTATTTCTGACCTACTCTTAGTTTTGTTGATATTTTAAGTCCAGGACGGACGAATTGCTCTAGAAATTTAGTTAAAAAATTGTAAATAGCTCGTTAACTAAGAAAGATATAAAGTTAATTTTTCTTTAAAAATATTTTTAAAATTCATAATTCTTTTTGATTATAGGATCGATAAAGCAAGTTTCTTTATGTCAAAAAAAATATGGGGAGGTTAAAATGTACCCAACCCCCTAACTTTTTTTAAAGGGGTCGCTTTAAATTTTTTTCTCCTTAGAATATTGGGCATTCAAATCTACGGCACTGGCAAAAATTTCGAAGAAAAAATCGCAACAGCAAACTTTTTACAAAAAAAAAAACGTTTTTCTGAATGTTAGTTTAACACCCTGTAACTTTGTTGGGAGCCAGTTTTTGATATAGGTAAATATAGCCAAATCCACTTATTTTTTGGTCATCTATCTGAGGATGAATTTATGACATATCTTTTTGAAATAGCCTGTATAAAAGCTGTAACAAAATACAGTGTTGAACAAGCAGGTCCATATTTAAAAAAGAAAATTACGTTGAGGGTGACCTTTTGGCGAAGGCCATGAATGAGTTAGGAAATACTTCTTTAGTTTAAAGTCAGTCTTAAATTATTATGATTAAAATGTTATATTAGATACTTATAACAGTTCATAAATAAACGTTTTATTTTATTGCAGTATCAGATAATATATTATTAGAGAGTTAGTGCAAATTCACTTAAGGTCAGTCACTATTTGTGCCTCTCTTATTTTGATATCTGAGCATGCGCAGATCACTTACATTCTAGAACTGACTTTAATAAATATTGTGCCTGTCCTTAATTGTTAATTGTGGACGTTTAAGGACAGCAGTTCGTGGCGACTTTATAGTTTTCGGGCGCGCTCGCCAACATTCGTATCAGTTCGAAGTATTTTAATATTAAATATTTAATATCATCGTCATCTAAAATGGTGATTTCTAATGCCTTTTTCATATTATGTACTATTATAAGCAATAAAAAAGATGAACTATATTTTAAATTTTTTAAAAAGAAGTTAGAAATATGTATAAGGACAAGGACTCTAATATAAAAATTTCAGGTTTGCAATAAGTTTACTTTAGCATGGAGTTTATTTGCCTCTAATTACGTTGTCACTATTGACGTTATACGTTATACGTTATAGAAAGTTGCATTATTTTTCTAATCTCTTAATATTCAGTTTTAAGAATATTTTTAAAACGAATTTATAAAACTGTTTATAAGTGTGCTAATCATTATCTTATAAATGTTCTTACAACCTCCTCTAAACTAACAATTTAAATACTACCGCAA